AGCAACAGTTTGGATTTAAAGAAAATACTTCAACTGAGGATGCTATACTAGAACTAACGGAGAAGATCCACTCATCATTAGAAAAAGGAAAACCCTGTCTTTGTCTATTTATAGACCTAAGTAAAGCATTCGACACGGTTAATCACCGCCTGTTGCTGAAAACTTTGGAAAATATTGGAATTAGTGGAAATTGCCTAGAAATATTTAGGAGTTATCTGAATGAGAGAAAACAGCTAGTTAAAATAGGTAATGAATATAGCAATTTTGAATACATAGAGTGTGGCGTACCCCAAGGTACAGTTTTGGGACCCTTGTTGTTCAATTTGTATATAAATGATATATTTTAATTAAATAGATCTGGATATATAATTGGTTATGCCGACGACACCGCAATTTTTTATGAGGCAAACAATTGGTTAGAGCTAAAGAAAAAAGTAGAAATAGATTTCACCATTATAAAAAATTGGCTTGATAACAAACTTTTAACTGTTAACTTGGACAAAACAAAATTTCTACCTTTTAGTTGTAATGTCACAGGGGCTTCTCCTTTTCAAACTTTGGAATTTCCTACAAGTGCTAACTTAATAGATATACGATCGGTCTCAGAAATGAAATACTTGGGAGTGCATATCGATACACATTTAAAATGGGATATCCAGATAAACTACATTGTTAAAAAGTTACAGTCAATTTTACATAAATTTAAACAGCTTAGTAAATGCCTACCGCAGCATGAGTTAAAAAAACTATATTCAGCACTTGTTGAAAGTCACCTGAGATATGCAATAACAGCTTGGGGTTCTGCTTTAAAGGTTCACTTAACACCGTTAGAAATAATCCAAAAAAGATTTCTAAAATTAATAATGGGCAAACTCTATAGATATCCAACCGAAAATCTATTCGCAGAAAGTAAAGTATTTGATGTCAAACAACTTCTCTTTTTTAGTACCAATGTTAAATACCATTTTGGAAATAAAAAACTACCAATCGCGAACACCACCACTTCACTAGAAATTACAATCTTCACACTTACCCAATAATAGTTAAAAAATCAATTTCTCAACGAGCATACTCTTATGTCGCTTTAAAATGTTACAATACTTTGCCTAAAACACTAAAAAGAATAAATAATAAAAATTTGTTTAAAACAAAGCTGAAGTTGTTTATAATGGAAAACCACAGACAATTCATATCTAATATTTTAGGATAAGTTTTACCTAAATTCCAAAATCTATTAACAAAAAAAAAAAAACTTATGAAATGATATTAAAAAAAAAAAAAAAAATTAGAATTTTGCTATTTCCAAAATAAGAAACACTTACCCGGATTATACATACTTACATAACATTAACCTTATCTATTTTCTTCTATTATTAAATAAATATAATTATATATATATATATATATATATATATATATATATATATATATATATATATATATTTTATTTTTATTTTTTTTTACCGTAATTAGAATAATTAATTCATGTAATTAGGATAATTAGATAATAGTGTATATTGTGTACAGCGAAACAAGTACTCACGTACTTATTGCTTCTTACTTTATTCTTGTAAATAATGTTTAATTGTTTCTAAAATTATTTATATTATATTGTATTTGTATACCTACATGAATAAAGTTATATTATTATTATTATTATTATTATTTAACAAATTCAATTTTTCGACCTTCGTCGCCTCAAAATACTAAACAAATTTCAATCGTCCATACCGCGAGAACGGTGCATCAGATCAAAATTTCTCAAGAGACATAAAAATTAGCATTTTTCCTAAGCTTTCAAATGCCGCAAATTGCGTTTTAAAAATATTGATTTATTTCCGACATGCGCCTGCGCAAAATTGAAAAATTGACAAAATCCAAAATTTCGGCACTTTCGAAAAACTGCTACATTTTGTTTTGCCTTTTTTCGAAAAGATCACCTCAAAATACATAGAATCCATTTTGTTTCATCTAATTACAATTTAATGCAAGCTCAAAACCAGTAATTTAATTCGATTAATAAAGGTTTGTCGCAAAATTTCTGAAACACGTTAATTTTTATTTTCAATTGGGCATATTACAAAGAGATTTGTTTATCTTTTTAATTATCTGGAGGTTGCAGACACCCCCAACTTTTTTTTTAATGGAAGGGTAGGTTGATTATTTTTTTTATTTGGAAGCTTTTTCAATTACAAATACAATTACATTTTTTTTTTACTTTTTATAAGCAATGAATCGGAAAAAATGAAATAAGAAAATATTTACTGAAATTACTTTAATGTATAGATACATTTTCTCATACTTGATAAGCCCAATAAAAAACCTGCTTGATAGTTTTTGGTCAATTTGAACTGAATGCGATTGATTTGTTAGTACTTGTTTGCATTTCAACGTGTAAATTGAAAACGAAAAATAAGAAAATGCCCTATTTAAGCAAGACGCATTTTATAGAAATTTTAATGATGATGGGATATGGGGACAGAAGTCGAACATAGGCTGAAGTCGCTCGTTTGTTTACTGAAGTTCATCCAGAATTCCCTTCAATTAATCGAAGTACGATTAGCAAAATTGAAACTCGATATCTGGAGTTGGGCCTCGTAAAGGATGCTCCTCGACAAAAGCTTTTAAAAATCGACGAAGAAGCCCGGTTGAACATATTGTTGGAAGTTGAAGAAAATCCTGTTACTCCAGCTAGGCAAATAGCTCGCGTTCATGGTATCAGTCACACAAGTGTTAAAGAAGAATTAAAGAAGCCAAAAAGCACCTATATAACATGCTACGTTGACATTACATGGGCACGTCAATTGGCAGAACTGCCATTATTGGGCTGACGAAAATTCCCGTTGGATGCGTGAATGCCATGCCCAAAGGCCTCAAAAAACAAACTTTTGGGCTGGAATTATTGGGGATCGCATAGTAGGTCCTTTTATTTCAATGGAAACGTAACCGGAGAAACTTACCTTACTATACTCCAAGAAGAATTGATTCCTACTTTAGTGAATTTATTCCCCAATAATTTGTATCCCAACTTATTTGACCAACGGGTGTGGTTTCAACAAGACCATCACATTTTGCTCAAAATTTACGGATCTATCTTACGGATCTATCTTAACGAAGTGTTTCCAATTAGGTGAATTGGAAGAAGGGGTCCAATTGAGTGGCCAGCAAGATCACTCAATATTACTCCATTTTGCTAGAGAGCAAAGTTTATGCCACTAAACCTTACGACATCGCCGAGCTCCAAAAAGGAATCAGGGAAGAAATTAGGCAAGTAATACCAGAAGTGTTACAAAATGTTCGGAATGCTATTTATAATCGATTAGGATATTGTCAGCAATAATGTGGAGAGCACTTTGAACATTTATTGCATTAAAGTAGATTCAGTAAATATTTTATTTTTTCCGACACATTGCTTATAAAAAGTAACCAAAAAATATAATTGTATTTGTAATTGAAAAAGCCTGCAAATATAAAAATTAATCAAACTATCATTACATTTAAAAAAAAAGTTGGGGGTGTCTGCAACCCCCCAGATAATTAAAAAGATAAACAAATCTCTTTGTAATGTGCTCCATTGAAAATAAAAATTGACGTGTTTCAGGAATTTTGCGACAAACCTTTATTTATCAAGTTACAGAATTTGTTTCAGTTAGACTTTCCACTCTGTACATTCAGTATGGGTGTTTGTGCGCCCATAGAGTCGGCGCCTGTGGCGGTTTGTTTTTTGAAGCTCGACGGCGCGGCAGAAGGACCTGTTTTATAAAATTATAAGCTAAGGCAGTTTTTTTAGTCTAAGGACTTTTTTTTAGAAATTTGACAAAAAAAGGACTTATAAAATGACTTGTATCTTGACCTGATCCCATGTCGTCGCCGTTGTCCCGCTTTTCCCTTTCATAAATCTGGCACTCCTAATATACGTATCGCCCATGTCTGGGTTTTGAGAAATGAAAAGGTGGCAACCCTATGTAGTTTCCACTGGTGGATATTTTCTTCACCAGCTATTTAGCAGAAGTGAATTACACTCCACATGTGTATAAGGAATAAGAAATAAGTGAACAAGGTAAATAAGGTGGTGTAATTGATACTGGTGCACACTGCACCAACAGTGAACGAAAGAAGCTAATGTTACTTACAAATGGAAAGATTTAACATAAAATCACCAAGTAAAACAAAGTTTTCTAGATACTCAAAATTTGTTAATGGTTTTGTAAAATGTAGATTCAGGTAAATAATATCCTTAGGTAAATAGTAAATATAATCACATAACCAATAAAAATATTGCGCCCAGATTTAGGCAACACAAAACATCACATAAAAACTGCAGTGTTTTCAGATACAGTTTGTGTTGATGGGCGTTTGTTGGAATAAAAGGTGATTGTCATTGGTTGATGTATTATATCGTTAAATAATCACAATCGTTTTACACATGAACTCAGATGGTTTAATCTAAATGTAAAATTTATTAAAGAAATATTCAAATATTTCCTGGTATTCTAATTAAAAAAAAAAACTAAACTAATTTTCCTAACCTGTACTGCTCCATTTAAAATAAAAAATAACTAATTTACTTATTTCGTAATATATTGCTTTCGTTCTTATACCATTTCGATAATATATCACTTCGATCATTAGTACTTTCAAATATATGTGATTTCGATCATTTATACTTTCGATCATTTGTAATTTCGATTATATGCGATTTCGATGGTTTTTTCTAATTTCGAATTTTTCTCACTTTCGACCTTACGACTTTTGATTATTTTTTTCTATCCTGCCACTATTTAAACAATGCGTTGTTGTATAAAGATAAAAATTCAAACAACGAACAAGCTAATTAAATATTGAACTATATAGGTAACGTCCTTTTAAGTATTTAAAGAATATTTTCTATTTTATTTTTCTTAGTGTATCTCTTTCACATTACAGAATGTCTCTATAAATAGGGAGTTTAACAGTAAGGTATTCTTTATAGACAAACATAAATTTAAATTGATATTTACCTAACCAGTCCAAAACTATTGTCTCCAATTCAGTCATGGCCGGACTTGCAGCCTAAAAGAATAAAAAATTAAATTAATTTCCAACACAGTTACTGCAAAACGTATACCAGATTGTCCATTAGCGCGAGGAAGTCCAATATCTTTCGTGTAATAAGAAATAGAAGGAAATGTTTTAAACAAAAGTTGCAGGGTTTACCTTTTGCATATTTCTAAAATACTGTGAAATATACAGGATTTTTCGTTATATCAGGACAGCTTAAACGTTTTATTTTTAAATAACTCACCCTGTATATTTTTAAATAACTCACATGACCACCTGCGATCGTGTAACGCCTGCAGTCGGCTTATGGGTGAATCGTAACCATTGAGATTGAATAAAGAGGGGGGGGGTTGACGGGTTACCTTAAAATTTTCAGAATTCAATATACTATAAAATGTATTTTTTTTTCATTCAGAAATATCAAGTTTACACCAGGAGGATGTTTGGAAAAGGGGGGATGTAGTAAACACCTTCAACACTCTAAGATTTTGGTCCTAAATACCCTACCAAAAGGATTTCATCTGAAATTAATTTTTAGGTTACTCCTGTTTTCAAAAAAAGTGGAGGGTGGGAGAAAATTTTAATACCAAAGCGTTCGACTTTTGGTCCCATAAAGTACCCATACAATAATATTTCTTCAGTTTTATTCCTAAGTCACTCCTGGCGACTTTTAAAAAAAGTAAGGGGGGATGCAATAAATCTCAGAAACCTTCCCTTGTGGTCCCATTAACTATTCGCAAAATAATATCTCAAAATTTTTATTTTGAGTCCACTCTTGACCATTTTTTGAAGGGGGGACGAGATGGGTCTAATTCAACTCAAACTTTGGTCCTATACATCATGCGCACAATATAAATGTAAAATTTTCATTTTGAGGTCACTTTTAAGGCTTTCAAAAAAGGGGGTAAATTTTTATTTACCCTAAGGCACCATAAATACTATAGCAAGAGTGGGGGGGCAAAAAAACATTAGAGTTCGAAAAGTCATATTTTTTTTTCTATGACTTATATTGACATCCGAGACAATTTTTTTGCTCATGTTCGCTTTAAACGGTAAGGACAATACAAAATTTTCAAACATCTGATATACGGGAATCTCTAATCATAAAACCATATTGTTTGTAGGTTTCGAAAATGTTTACTATTATGTTTTATATAGCTTAAACTAGTAATAAATATGACCCCAAGATCTCAAGATTTTCGATAGAGTAATGACAAGCCAAGACAGAACCGTTTATATGATAATGGAATTCTATTTTTTTTTTTTGTAAATATCAACTATTTTACACTTAGATATATTAAGAGATATTATATCCAGATTAAATTGTAGTTCTATAGTATACTCATTTCTATTAGTTATTGAAGATATATTTTAAGTCGTCTGCGTAAATAATCCTGTCTGAATCCAAATGGCCATCCAGGTCATTGATATATAGCAAGATTTGAGCTTTGAAGCACGAATGATTTTGAAAAATATTGGTGTGATGAATGGCCATTGCAGAAAACAAACTGATGTCTATTTCGAAGGTAGATGACTGATAGTTCTTCAGTGGAACAGTACAGAAACCATACTGATTTAATTTATCAACTAGAATTTCGTTATTCATTTCAAAAATCAGTATGTACGAGCCCTAACCACTATGTTTGGCCTTTTTATAATTTTATTTCCGTTAAATATTACTTATATTTAAAACAGTGTCTAGGTACACGCTAACTTGTACGCAATTCAAAAAGTTATATACACGCGAAACGTCTTGACAGAGTAGATGAGCTGTGTCCAGGCCGTTGGTGTTTATGCCGGTCGGCGTAGCCAGGTATGGATTAAAATTTTCTGGTGGTGGTGAAGCCACCACCCTACGAGAAGTCGTAGCTTCGTTTTCTTGCTGTCATGGCATTATTATTATTTGTTCATGTATGTGAAATTTGCTTCTAAGGTTTATAAAATACTACTGCTAGTCATGGCGTAAATGAAACCAAACAAGACGTATTCTCACAAACACCTCCCACCACAGCAATATGACGTTTCGCGTGTATAATATTTTTTGATTTGTGTACACTTTAGCGTGTACCTAGCAACAGCCTAAATTTAATAGTTGTTGATGTTTCTACTATTAGGCATTCCAAACTGAATGGCTACCAGTGGGTTTTGACAGGTTATGGTATGGCAAAATTATGGCAACCCTGTAGGCCTGGTGATTTGACAAGGTCAATGAAATAGATAGTTAAATAGATTGATTATCCATATTTTTCAAAATAAACATAAGCCTTGAAGTAAAAAATTAAGCGATTATTATTTTTTAAATATCTAAAGGCTGAAAATTGGTTTTAAAACACATTTTTGCTAAACCAATTAAAATTAATAAATATTTGCCGGGCAATATGGCCGCTCGCAAACGACCAGCTTTGAGCAATCTATATAACTATATAGGTATCATTGACCCTGTAAATGACAACATGACAACAGGGTTGCCATATCTAAACTGTCAGTACCCACTGGTAGCCATTTGGACAGGTCGTTGGAATGCCTAATTTGTGAGAGAATGACGGACCAAAATGAACCTAATTTATTTTTAACAGTATTTAATCGAAGGACACATGGACATTTAAATGTTCGTACAATATTCTCCGCAATTATTAAATTAAATGTTTGGGATGCTTTGGAATTTTTGACGTTTAGAATTTTTTACATGTTTGACGCACATAATAAACATTAACTTATTTTGTGGTTTGACGTTTTAAGTTGTTGAAAGTGTAACGGTATCTTTGTGACAGTTTCTAACGAAATTTTCTTATTCGTTATTGAAAATGGGATCATAAACAAGTATAAACATTAACAGAAGTTTCCTAATAAATAACTGGAATAAAATTATGAAAAGGCCGAACATATAGTAATTAGGGTTCGTATTACATCAATTTATCCACCAGTGTCAACAACTTTAGTTAATTGGTGGGTTATTGTAAGCAAATTGGTTTTGGTTGATTTCTTGCTCAGAATTCTATGTTACGAAGGTGATAGGTGATAGGTCATTTCAAAAATATTTAAAAAATTTGACAAAATATGGGACGATAGTTGTTGATTTGTGATTTATAACCAGATTTAAAAACCGGAACAATTCTGATTTCTTTCTATTTGTCTGAAAAGGTTAATGACTCTAAAGCTAATTTAAAGAATAATTTCAATAGTTGAGCTAAGGTATATACCTAAATAAAGTTCTTAGCAACTTTTTTTAGATAGAAAAATTCAAATAAATATGAATATTATTATATCGATAAATAAAAATAATGTTCCCAAAATATAGATCATAGTCCATTGCAAGATATTCTAGAAAGCGCAATGGTCTGGCAACCTCTTGAAACGTTCGACAACATACTGATCAGAGCCGGCTTAGGTTGAATGTTATTTGTTCAAATGTTAAAGGTAATTTTTAAAATTTGAATTCTTCAAAAATCCTTTTGCGGTCTAAATTGCATTGAAAAAAATATAACACGATTCAACTAAAAAATATATTGAAAATTGAAACTGACTAAAATTATTATGGAGGTAAATAAATTTAAAAACGTCTATATTTCTAAATCACATTCACAGTCACTTATTTCATGTTCTGAAATAATATCACTATCATCATCATAAGTATCATCCAAATTTATTTCAATTTTTTGAATTGTATTGTTAAATCTCATATATCTCCCTTCAATTTTTTTAACATGTTGAATAGCGTTTTTCCAGTTTTCAACAGTTATACAGTTAAATGCATTTCTTACTACATCAATTAAAGAAAAAGTGGACTTAGGAGAAGAGTTATTTGCTCGAGAATATTTTTTTAACTGTGACTATATTAATTTTATGGGGTTCAAAATACAGTGGTAGGGTGGTAAACGTAAAACTTATTTCGTAGAATTTGTATTTGGTTTTTTTCATACCAACAGAGAATGGTACGGGACATTATCTAAAACTATTATGCTATTTTCATTTAGTTTTGTTTATAATGTACAGACCATTTTTCAAAAAGAGTACTTTCTATTTCCTGGTGGTAGTCCAAACTTCTATCCCGTACATCCTTTGCAGACAGCAATAGAGCTCCTTCTACCCAACCTGATTCTCCACCACAATGTAAAATACATATTATTTTTCCTTGAGATTAAGGAGTGTCTACATTACATACATTACATTAATTAAAAGCACAACGTAAGCACAGTCGCCATGAGTGACGTTGCTTAAGGACCACCAATTGTGCGCGACATCCAACCTTTGGTTGGGTATATCGTGAATACTACCAGTTTCCTTAATCCGCTAGTTAAAATACACACCCTGAAATTAAATGTTTTAATCCTACAAGTACCTTACACTTTTATTACAATGTTATTGAGACAATCTGTTCTTCCGAATACGAAAATAGAAATCGACTTTTTAAATTATTACAATTGTTTATCAGACCTTTAGTATTATCAAGAGATTTCAAATACTAAATTTTAATTTATCAAATATTTGTGTCCGATACCTCATAGTCATTAACCTTTTTCATTGCACAATATAATCTGACAAACATTCTTACGAAATATTAATATTATCAATTATTATGTTTATTCCCCAAACATCAGAAAACATAAATTTTTAAAGTCCACTTGGGAGCACCGTCCCTGTTCCAACTAAAACACAATCTTTCTTCATATGTAAAGCGAGACGATTTTCTACTATAAATTGCAACAGACTATACAAAAAAATGTTAAATTGACTTTTAAAAGAAGAGAAAGATTTTTCAGAGTTAAACGAGTAGGTATCGAAGAAGTACGTATTGTGATAAAAAATTTAAACACTTACCCATGAAAACCCAATAGCTCCGGTCCCTGCCGAAAGCAAATCTCCAAGAATGGAAGGATAGGAATTTCCACTTGGAAAATAAGCATGGAATCTAGGATGTTGCCAATGCGTTACTCCTGGCATTATTTTCATTTCGATGTCTTCCATAATCTTACTCCACTCTTCGGGATTTTCTGGAGCTTCAAGTGGCAAAAGTTTTCTGAGATAACCAGGTTCTATGTTTGGAGTTACGCGTCGAGTGTTGATATTCTCCCTGTAGCTGCAGATATAATCGATCATGTCTTTGCCAATATGACGGAATTCGTCGGTGTCCATTCTAAAGAAAATTGAAATTAAGGCATATGAAAAAGACCAATATTAATAAGCGCGTGAAGTTAGACAGGGTAATTTTATCAATTTATCAGTAGGTGACATGAAATATGTTCTTCTAGATATTAAGAAGAAAAAGAATGAAAAAGCTTTTATCACTATAAGCTATTAATGCAATCAGTTACGAAATGTCTTATTCTATGTAACAAGTGAATATTTGCGGGACGAGCATAGCGAGATCCTACAACATGAACGACTTACATGAAATGGCATTTCGTAACGTGTTACATACAATATTTTTTTTAATTTTGACTATATAGATTAAATAGATTAAAGTAAAAAATTACTAATATCTAGGCAACCAATAGTACTTTTTTGTATTGTTAGTTACCTATTCATAACTTCGTTCAATTTATTGACAAACAGGAAATCATATTAATTTATTCTCAACCTAAACACAGAATTGGCTGTGAGCAATAGTGCCAGTGTAGTTCAAACATAGCTAACGGGGATTCTCATAGCAGCAAAAGAAATAACCAGAAATAATATCACTGGAAGGAACATGCTCATCTATACAGATAGCAGACAAGCACTACTCACCCTGAACAGACCACAAATTTATTCAGGGTTACTACTAGAAGTGTTGGCCGAAGTATCCATCAACAACGTAATTACCTTAAGATAGATCAAAGGTCACGCCACATCGAAAGGTAACCGTCTTGCTGATTCACTGGACCAAGAAAGCAGCCAACCAAATACTTTTTGGACCTGGCCCTTCTATTGACCTGACAAAATAGGTAGTGACAGATCTAATTAAAGAACATTCCCTTGTGAAATTCAAGAAAAGATGGCATAAAACAAGAAACTGCAGAGTTGCCAGGGATCTTTTAAGTTATCCTGACAACACTGCAGCAAACAAATAGGTACTTGACTATGACTGGTCAGAATCTGCACCTAGTCACAGGCATTCTGACTGATCACTGCCAAGTACGGAAGCATCTACATGTCATGCAGAAGGTGAGAACGAGAAGATGAGACCATCAAGCATATCTTCTACGATTGCTCGACGCTCTCATTTATTAGGAGATTTGTGTTCGGCGAGTATCGGCTAACACCGACCGATATAAGAGAAGCACCTCTTGGCGACGTTGTCAACTTCATTAAATCAGTAGGCTGGCTCACGAGCTAGGAGATGCCTATTATCTAAGAAGGATGCACAATGGGCCCAGTGCCGGCGGGGGTAATCCACCCTCCACACGTTATAGATACAGATTCTCAACGACTTGCAGTGTGTTTATTTTGCTTGTTAAAGTCATTTATTTTTCAAGAAAGTCAATTATTTTTAACCGACTTTAAAAAAGGAGGAGGTTCTCAATTCGTCCTAATATTTTTTTTTATGTATGTTCAACGATAATGCTTTAACACGGTGTCCGATTTCAATGATGCTTTTTTTGTTAGAAAGGGAGTACTTCAAGCGTGGTCCCATATCCATTTGGTCAAAATCTAATAATTGAGTCCATTGGAAAATCCTCAAACTCTTCATTTTTTATTTATATTTAGCGGTAATTCTTTACCATCTTGTCCGATTTCTATGATTCTTTTTTTTTTGTTAGTAAAGGGGTACCTCAGGACAGTGGCGGCTCGTAAGGTATTGCCACTGTGCCATGGCACTACCTTATTTTTGATGCAAAAAATTTTTTTTTTATTTTTAAACGTCTTATCATATTTTTATTTTATGTATTTCTTTTTATATTCAAAAATTATTTAAAATGTGGCAACCTCGCGCTGCATAAATCTCCAAGGTCTTGCCGCGTACCAGAGCCATTTCTCATCTGGCACTAGGAGAGAGAGAGAGAGAGAGAGAGAGAGAGAGAGAGAGAGAGAGAAAGATTTTACCAGCATTTAAACGGTAAAATCAATGAATGTTTGTGCCAGGCTCAGCACGGGTAGCTGTTCAGATAATCGCGGTTTCTCGATAATGTCGATTGTTGATTGAATTAAGCGAATTTCTTTACGCGCTTTTAAGTTTTTCGTTATGTTATGTTATGTTAGGTTATATTATGTTGAGAATGGGATGTTAATACACTGCGACCTAAAAGATCTATTGTGTCCCCTTCTGTCACCACTGCACTAAGGAAATGTCTCAGTGCCTATAGCGCCTCTTCCAATCCTATTTTCTCAAGGAAGTGTAGGATTTGAAGTGGCTTCAAGTTAGGTAAATCTCCCTCTTCTATTTGATATCCTCCTAGATATAGTGCTCTTGGATTCTGGACTGCTACACATTCAGTTAGGATGTGAATGGAGGTTTCGTCCTCCTCCTCACAGAATCTGCACTCACTATCCTCTACTACTCTCAGTTTACTTAGGTGTCCCCTGTTACAATACGTAGCCTGTTCTTGCTTAGGCAGATGCAAGCTTCCAATCTTTTCTGGTTATATTCACCCAGAAGTATCTTGGACTGTCTCAGCCCCAAGAGATTGTTCCAATTATCGGTTCTTCTACTACCCAATTCTTTTTAATTCTCTCCTAATATTATGTTACTGCTGATACCGCAGAACGGCTCAGGTCCTACAAAGGGTGTTTGAGCCCCTTTCCTTGCAAGACTATCTGCAATCTCGTTACACTGTACCCCGTTATGTCCCGGGACCCAAGTGAGAGTAACTCTATTTTTCTCGCCTAGCTCATTCAATTGTTCCAGGCATCTCCAGACCATTTTTGAGCTGATTACGTAAGAACTCAGCGCTTTGATGGCTGCTTGACAAGTTTTTCGTTACTTTACGAAGTATTATTAGTGACGTTAATGTGTGTCTTTTTGTTTTCGATAAACTTGTTTAAATATATTATTTCCTAGTTTTTAATTTATTGTGACAATGAATAAAATTGGCCGTCCAATAATTTATATAAGGTTTTGTGGAGCTTTTGAATTAGCTTTAAGGGGTCACGACGAGAAAGATAATTCGGAAAATAAAGGCATATTAAAGAGCTGGTGAATTTTTGCGCCGAATTAGACAACGACTTAAAGGTTCATATTCAAAGTTCAAAAGCTTTCAAAGATACCTCAAACACAACCCAAAATGAACTTCTTGAGTGCATGTTAGATGTTTATCACGAAGAAGTTAGGATAGAAATATAAAATTCTCCTTTTGTTGCAGTGATTGCCGATGAAACGACGGACGTTGCTTGTGAATTTCAATTAGTTATAGTTTTCAGATATTTGTGTAAAGGACGACCAGTTGAGAGATTTTGGAGGTTTTACATGCAAATAAATTAATTGCTCAAAGCTATGACGTCTGTAATTGTGGATTAAATGGTGTGCAAAAAATTATTAAACAAACATATCCTCTTGCAAATTACGTTCATTGCTATGCACATCAGATGAATTTAGTTATGACAAGTGCATGTTCTATCAATAAGCAGGCTAGAATATTTTCTAATTTATCTGGTTTGTGCTCTTTCTTTTCTACGTCTCCTCAAAGAACAAAAATGAGGTAGGTAATCGCAGGTTGCCAAGGTCCTCCCAAACACGTTGGAATTTTCAATCGCGAGGTGTTCATATTGTTTATGAGAATAGAAAAGGCCTCATTACAGTTGTAGACATTATAGAAAGTACTTCACGCGATTCGTCATCTATTAATCAAGCAAGTGGGTACAAATAAAACTTCAGGATAAAAATTTTATCTTTTGGTTAAGTATTTTTCATCAAATAATACCTCACGTGGAAATTATTTTTAATCAATTACAAAAAGTATGCATAGATTATGTTAAGGTCAAGAAAGATTTGGAGAATTTCGAAGCAGCAATTCAAGGTATACGGGAGCAAATGGACAGCATTATTGGCAATATTCAAGGAGAAATAAACACGTCGCAAGGAGAAACTGGTGAACCAATAAGAAAAAAGAAACAAATTGAAGAGAACAGCAGAAAACGCGATGCTTTAGAAATATGCGATGCCGTTTTATTGCAAATAAAAATAAGGTTCAACTTCTCTGGGAATTTGGTCGCTTCTAATTTATTTATGTCGAAGAAGTTTTCGGTCTATAGGCATCAGTTTCCCAAATCATTCCTCAATGAAACATGTATACAATTTTCATTTTTAGACAAAAATATGCTTAAAAATGAATTACAAGTACTGTATCAGAGAGACGAATTAAGAACCACTTTCGGAGCTGTCCCGCTGTCAATTTTATTAAGTGAGGAAGGTTTAAATTGTACATTTCAGGAAACTTTTAAACTTTAAGGTATTTTGATAACAATACCTATATCAACATCTAAAGCAGAGCACTGTTTTTCAATGCTTAAATGGATTAAAACATTCCTCAGAAATACAACGAATGAAGAAAGACTTAGTGCTTTAGGTATGTTGTCCGCAGAAAAACATTTTGTAAATGAAATTAAAAATTTTAATAATAAAGTAATTGAAAACTTTGCAACCAAAAAAGGAAGAGAATGGACTTCATTTATCGGAAACTTTAAAACTAGTATATCAAGCAACTTTGTGCGCATGTGTAAATACTGTAAATAAGTATAGTTTTATGTTTATGATTTTTCTGGTATATGGGCCTAAATACTCTTTACGGTAATAACAAACTGCAAGGACTTTAAGCATTAATTAATGGGGGTAAGTTAATTTATAATTTTTAATTAATTTTACAGAATTCTTTGATAAGTTTTGATTCATTTATTGGCAAAGTTTAGGATAAGACTAACCCTGATGGCCTGTTTCGTGGCAAAACTTGTGTTAGAAACCTTATAAATAGTAGTTATATAATAGGTATAAAAGTATCCGTCCTTCATTAATTTTTTTAATTAAAATTTTATATCTATTTTGACAATACCGTGATAAATTTTTGCCCAAAGCCAGTTTTTTAAACGACTTTTGGTTAAAAATTTGGGCGTGGCACCCCAAAAAAATGTTCTCTCCGGCGGGGTTTTTACATTTGTTAAAAATCTGGCACTACTATCTCGTATTATCACGAGCCGCCACTGCCTCAGGAGTGATCCTTATGTAC